GGTAGTGGTAGGAACTGAGCATCATGGCAACGCGGGTGAGGCTGTCCAGCTTCGAGTTCTCTCCAAGGTGTTGATGCTCGGCGCCCCAATAGACGCGAACAAGTATACCTTCGTGGATGACACCGCTGGAGCAACGCCACAAGGTGCCAGAGCGCCCGGCAGCGCAGGTAATGTTCGATGGAGTCGTCGCACAGGTGGCAGGAGGAGACCAGCGCATGCAGAAAAAGCGCCGACGACCACGGCGAGAGTAGAGGTCAAAAGTCCCCCCCATCTTTACCAACCCGACAGGCGAAGTCGTTTAGTAAACGCGCCCAAAGAAGGAATCAAACACAGCAGGCCTGCTTAGTAAACGCCCAGGGCCGATTAGTAAACGCCTATTGTCGGGTCCAGGTGTTTTTTCCTCCATTGATAGATACCCCGCGGCCTCCTTGCCGCTCTCGACGCCAAGTTCGCTGGAATTGACAGCTGCGTTGACGGAGAGGCGTCTGGAACGAGGGCCGTCCCAGGAGCGGACGTGTCCGCACGAAGGATGCAAGAGCAGGACGGAAGTAAGGGCGGCGCACCACGTGGCAGGAGGACGAGAGGAAGGGAGACGTGGAGGAAGACGAGGAGGCCGGCGTCATTCTCGCCCATGGCCCCTCGCATCCCAGAACAGGATGAGTCAGCATCGGATCGGGAAGTCGGACCTGGCCGGAGCGTGCGTAGGATCGGGATGCCTAGGCTGACGACTGACTGACAAACCATACGCCGAGCGGTGCGTGGGCATGAACGCTGGCTTAAAAAAGAACCTGGGCCTTGGCTACACGACGGGCCACGGCGGTCGGCTCCCGATGAGAAGCTGAACTTGCGCGCGGGAAATCGAAGTCGGCATCGAATCGGATCGGCCTCGCCAGGATGAACAGCAGAGCCACGCAAGCACCCAGCCGCATCAGGTCGTCGAACTGCAAAACCGAAGTGGATCGGGCGGGCCGAGACCGATATCGCATCTAGTCGGCACGGGCCCTGCCGGGGCCACAGGGATGTCCCCGAGTCGTTCTTATTGACGGTCACCTGGCACACCCCCCAGCAACCCAGCAACCTCGCAACCCCTAAACAAAAAGGGAACCTCTCCTTAAGGCCTCTGGGAAAAAAAACACTTCGGATTTCGATGTCTTCTCTGGCGAAGCCATTGTCCTGCGCTAGTCCAGGACTTCCATGGGAAGTCCGATGCGATCCGTATAGAGGCCCTATAAGAGACTATGAGATCCCTGTAGTGGCCCTATAGGAGCCGATGACATCCCTGCAGTGGCCCTACAGGATCCCTTTTGTAACCGCATAATCTCTGGAATGGCCCCATAGGAGCCTACGACATTCCTGCAGTGGCCCTACAGGATACCTCTTGTGACCGTGTAATCTCTGTAGTGGCCCTATAGGTGCCTCTGAGATCCCTGTAGTGGCCCTACAAGACCCAAAAAAAGACCGAAACAACGACCCTGTAAAAGTGCCTGGGTTAGCCTATCGAGATCCGCTTGGGTCCCTATAGTGACTCTACAAAGACCCCATTGGGGAGCCTTGTGGTCCTTTGCAGATCCTATGCGGTCCTGATCGAGGCTTTAGCTCCAGGACCCTCATGGAGATCCTGCAGGATCCCTATAGAGAGCATATGGAGGCCCTAAGCCTGTGCGACCCTCGTGGAGACGCTATACATCCTGGCTAAAACCCTACTTTGGGGGCCCTGCACAGACAAATGACTGTGCAAGTGTGCATGCGCGTCTGCCGACAACGCATCTGGGCGTTGATCGGAGGCTGCATCGTGATCGCTGGCCCCCAGAGGGTACCCGCCGGGGCTGCGCGCCTAAAAGGCGGATCGCCCCCGAGGGGCAGCGCGACCGCCCGCTCGAAAGGCCACTCGGGCTCCGTAGCGGTTCCATATCGAGAACGATTGTCGCGAAGACGACGCTCAGAAGTCTTTTAGTCGCACGGTTGGTGCTATGACGTAGAGTTCCAAGAGCTGCCTTGCCTCGCCTTGCCTCGCCATCCTCATCAGCAGCATGCCGAACTGCGCACTGCGACGTGAGAGGCCGTTTCCGCGAGGGTGCCTCAGGGAGAGGCCACAGCGGCCAGATTACACCTTCAAGACGCGTGACAGCGTGCGGTAACGAATCAGTATCCTTCTTTTTCCTCTTCAGTGTCCCTCCTCCTCCTCGTCCTCCTCGTTTTCCCTATCCACCTCCTCCTCCTCCTCCTCCTCCTCCTCCTCCTGCTCCTCCTCCCCCTCCTCCTCCTCCTCTTCCTCATGCCCATCTTCGCCCTCATCCTCATCATCACTCTCCTCATCCTCATCCTCATCCTCCTTCTCTTCTTCCGCTTCCGCTTCCTCATCCGAATCCCCTGCGCACTGCGACTTGCGACGTTGCACCGCAAGGGTGCCACGGAGGGGACGAAGCTGCCAGATTACACCTGCAAGACGCGTTTTGATAGCGTGCGGTAGCGACTCGGGCCTCCCTTCTGTTTTTCATCCTCCTCCTCCTCCTCCTCCTCCTCCTCCTCCTCCTCCCTCCTCCTCCTTCTCTTCCTCTCCTCCTTCTCCTCCTCTCCTCCTCTTCTCCTCCTCCGCCTCCTCCCATCAAAATGCCCATCCCCGTCCTCCTGCAGCTGCTCCTCCTCTCCTCCTCCTCCTCCTCTCCTCCTCCTCTCCTCCTCCTCCTCCTCTCTTCCTCCTCCTCCTCTTCCTCCTCCTCGTCCTCGTCCTCCTCCTCCTCCTCCTCCTCCTCGTCCTCGTGCTCCTCCTCATCCTCCTCCTCCTCCTCCTCCTGTTCCTCCTTCGCATCCTCCTCCGCCTCTCAGCGCAACACTGCGGAACCATAAGCCGAAATACCGCAATTACGGAATCCCATTGGACCCCTAAGGAACCATCCGGTTCCCCCAGGAAATCGCCACGAATCCCAGGGAATCCCCAGGACCCGCTAGGGAATCCTCGAACCCCTCTTTCGGGAATCATCAGGACCCCCCCAAGAATCCTCAGGAACCCCTGGAAAATCTTGAAGAACCGTTAGGCAATCCCCAGGAAACTCTCGGGAATCTTGTGAACCCTTAGGGAATCGTCGGGGATCCTTGGAGGATCCTGAGACTCCGTAAGGAATCCTCAGGAATCTCCAGGGCATTCTGGGGACCCCCCAGGAATTCCACAGGATGCTTTTCGGAAACCTGAGACAGCCAGAGGACATCCTAAGGAACCCTATGCGAAATTACCAGAAATCCCTAAAGGG